CTGCACAAGGACCAAATTATGTAACAGATCTGTTAGGCCATAAAACGGGTTGCACAGATGATATAAGTGTCTTTAAATCTGAAAATAAGTAACAATTATAATGTTTTCAAAATCTTAGAAATAGCTCTTAAGAGTGAAATAGGTCCTAAAGTTGCAGACATCCTATTCGTAGTCACCTTTCTATGAAAATAGGGAGAGATTTTACCATGTTTGCCAGAAATTAGAAAATGCGTATATCTCAAGGGGCTGTTTGAAAAGAATCCAAGTGGATATAAAATACGGCGAAAACACGTTTTTCATGAAAGTACATTGGGAATTGCATGTGTACCCAGCATCTTGTTTGCGTCAAGCTTTGAATTTTTAATGAAATACTCTAATTTGGGATATTAAATAGGCATCAGGTGTATAAATGAGAGATAGTGTACTTATCATAGGGCTGGCGTCAATTTAAGAGACAATAGACGATGTTAACATCACCAAAAAATTTGCAAATAAGATTAAACAGTTTCCTCCAAACCGCAAACTGGTAACAAGCCACAGTGGCATATTAATGGATTTCATCTTTTCACATAATGTTCAGATATATTTCCAAAAAACTTTCATATTAAAGATATCGAATTTTGAATGATTACGTTATGTAAGCTCAAGTTAGAACATCAATGCAGGAATTTACAATTTGCCTCAATCTCACGAGAAAGTAATGTTGATTGTGATTTCGTTTGATATATTGTTTATGTGCTTTGTTTGCTTGTAAATACAAGCAATGAGCTGCCGAATACCATACGCAGTATATGTGCGAGGAGCAGATACCACGGCGAGGTCATACCTATCAATAATTTCATTATTGACCGGAAAAAAAACAGTAATCAATTGTTGAATATAATATCATCCGTCATCTCAAATGACATCCCAATATACAGAGTTAAGTGCCACCAATAAAAGCAATTGTCACCTATCATATCAATGAAAAAATCATAAAAAAAGAAGGAGAAACATCTTCCGAAGCTGATACTCCAATGCCAGGCGATTAGTGACAATGATAACTATC